GCAACCTAGAAGACACAAATTTGACTAACAAGTTATAAGTACATGAGTCCAAAAATTATGGAAAAGTAAAAGAAAAGATTCTTTCATTGTTTTACAAACACTCCCCCAGGTCCCCGGTTTTCCAATTTTGTCAGTACCATTTGATAAAGGGACTGTTATTTCCTCACTTAATGGACTTCTTCTCCTTGTCAAAGATTAACTGACCATATTTTTTGTTCTTTTTGACCAAATATTTTTCATACTTTTTGTTCCATTTACCTCATTGGATCTATTCCCCTTGCCTATAGCATACTTCCCAACCTTTGAATTTTATCTAAAACAGTGGTGGTCTAATCATTGGGTCGCACAATTTGATGGGTGTGGAGTAAAGGAAAGGGGAAAGATCTGTTGAGAAAAGCAATGCATATGAACTTTGTAAGTAAACCAATATAAAATAAAAATTTTATAATAAAAAACAACAACAGTGGTGTTCACCTCCTTCTTTTCCCTTGGCCTTCCATGTGTATTTCAAGAGATACCTTCTTATTCCTCTTGCTACTTAAGCCCAAGTGGGCCACTACTCTTTTTTCCCCCTTTACTCCCAGTCATAGTATTAATTCACCCATTATTACCAATGCATCTTGATTGCACGTTCAGTCGATTTCTGACTGCAAAAGTTGATAAAAGAAATCTTCTGTTTCCTCTTCTTTCGCTCTAGTTGTTGGTGCATATATTTGAATGATGGTAGTATTCACTGGACTTCCTTGTATGCGTATGGATACCACCTTATCACTCACAACATTTTCTTTCAAGATGGATCTAGAAATAACTTTTTAACTATGGAAACAACTCCATTTTTCTCACCTTTCATCTCTAGCACAGTAGAGATCATCTGATCATCATGATCATCTGATTCAAAATGTCCCATGCCAAGCCATCTCATTTCACCAATAGCTAGTGTATCAATAATTATACGTTCCATTTCTTTCTTAACAATGTCCGATTTTCCTACATTCATGCTTCTCACATTCCACGTTCCAATCACTAGTGTCTACTTACAACTGTTCTTCCTTCTTTGCATGTCCATGTTTGAGGGCTCGGCCTCCGTTGTCATATCTGTTAGTCTATGTGTGCTCTATTGTATGCAGGGTTATTTCAGAAGTGGATCCTTCTTCCTAGTCTGTCTTAATTTGAATGCTCAGATTTAGAAAAGCATCTGATAGACAAGCATTTTACAGAAAGGAACATATGAAAAACATTTCCCCAATTACAGAAGCAACCAACAGATTCAGTGTTGCTACCCACCCCTGGCACATGTGTCTTGACCCACCCCTTTCTCTATTCCACAAGCATCCCCTTCCACCCCCGCCTATGCCATTCAATACCTCTCTCCCCTTATCAGAGGAATGTCTATCTGTGTTTCATTGACTATGCAAAGGCATGTGGATCAGAACAAACTATGACTAACTCTGAGGAGAATGGGAATTCCAGAACACTTAACTGCACTATGCAAAACCTATACTTGGACCAGAACAGAACAAGGAGACATTGCACGGTTCAAAGGTGTACACCAGGGATGTGTCCTATCACCATATCTTTTCCATCTACATGCAGAACAGATCATCCAGGAGGCTGAGCTCTATGAGAAGAAGTGTGGCATCAGGATTGGAGGAAGACTCATCAACAACCTGTATATGCAGATGACACAACCCTGCTTGCTGAAACTGAGGAGGACCTGAAGTATTTGCTGCAGGTCAAGGACTGCAACCATAAATATGGATTGAAGCTTAACATCAAGAAAACAAGATTCTCACCACTGGGCCAATTACCAGCATTATGATAGACAGTGAAGAGACTGAAATTATTAACAGTTTCAGTTTGCGTGGATCCACAATTAACACTCTTGGTACCAACATCCAGGAAATCAAAAGACAAACTGTACTGGGAAAAGTCTGCTGTCAAAGACCTATCCAGAGCACTGAAGAGCAATGATGTCATTCTGGAGACTAAGGTGTGCCTAATACAGGCCACAGTCTCCACAATACTTGTTTACGTCAGAAGGCTGGGCAATGACTAGGGATAATACAAAAAGAAGTGATGCTTTTGAGCTATGGTCCTGGAGAAGACTATTGAATATACAATGAACTACCAGGAGAACAAACAAGTTCATCGTAGAGAGAGTGAAATCAGGCTGCTCCTTGGAGGCAAGGATTCTGAGGCTTCATCTGGTATACTTGAGCCATGAGGCAAGGAGGAATCAGTCCTTGGAGAGGGGCATCATGCTTGAAAGGGTGGAAGGGCAGCACAAGAGAGGAAGAACCTCAAAAGGATGGATTGATTCAGTAACTGGGATAACAGGAGTAGGTTAGCACAGGATAAAAGCAGGGTTCAGGGCTATTGTACACAGGATTGCTATGAGTCTCAAGCAACTCGACTGTACATAACAACTCCCATTAAGACACAACTATATGGTACAACCACTCTGAAGGCAGTTTAGCATTTCCTCAGAAAGCTGAACATAGAAATTCCACTATTCCACTGTTTGGAATATACTCTAAGAAAATGAGAACTGAGGCACAGAGACGTGTACACTATGTTCATAACAACATTATTCACCATCATAAGAACATGGAAACAGCCCAAGTGTCTAACTACAATAGAATGGATTGAGAAAGTATGGTACATTCATACTATGGAATGCTATGCAGCATGCACAAGCAATGATTTTGAAAATCACTACCTAACATGGGTGGGACTAGAGAGCATTACACTAAGTAAACTAACTCAGTCCTATAAGGACAAATGCTGTATAAGACCATTATTGTAGACATAGAAAGGTAACTAGTAAAAGGTGTATGAGGATCCAAGGGGGGAAAGGTGGAAG